GGAAATTATATATGTAGTGTAATTAGTTTTGAAAGAAAGAGGTCTACAATAAATGAAGATGACGGCCAATTAGATGCACAGACTACCAAAACACGCGCACACAAGCAGAACCCGCCAATGAGCTTTTGCAGCCTCAGAACGTGGGTAAGGTCTACGCGTTCCAGAAAACTTGGGCATGGCCTCCCGATTCTAGGAACTGAGACCCCGGGCATCTGCTGGGCGGGTCCGAGACCTTCAGGACGTAGTGAGGACGACAGGAAGCCCAACACACTTGCCAGGATTCGGTCCCTGGGACAGTCACTTGAGGCAACTACGAGACTGGCCTGCGTGCAACTCGCTAACTGCATTTTGCCCTAACCGTATTTACGGGTCACAATTTTCAAAAATTCAACTGGTTAAATTAATTTTTATGTACTTGCTCAATTTTATCAGTAAAATCACAAAAAATATTATTATTAAATGTTAAAAATGTTAAAATATTATTATAATTAACATTTACGAAACGACCTTGAATGCGATATTCGGTGGTCTCGCGGTTAGAACGCTGGCCTTGTAATCCTGGGGTCTCGGGTTCGAATTTATACGGGGTGCGATCGGAAAGTTTCAAGACTGTGTCAATAGAGGGCGAACCGGATGTAGTACGAGCTTCTGCCGCTAAGAGGTTGGGCCTACATTCATAGTGAATCAGTGTGCCAGCCGGCATTATCGAATTAGCATTTGTTTCTTAGTTACGGGCGTTTTGGTAGTGCATTACACCGACCCTCCTGCGATTTCGGAATGGCGTGTGCATCAAATTTTGCCAAAGACTCGCCAAAACGGCTACGGAAATTTATGAAATGCTAACGCAAGCATTGTTGGGATAGGCTATGGGGCCTGTCAGCTGATTCTAAAGGAAGAACTCCACATGCGACGCATCCTGTCAGAGGACTAGAAGCAGAATCGACTTCTCGTTTGTCAGGAGCTCAAAGATCTTGCCGGATTTAGCTCTGTGTGACTTCTTCCTCTTCCCAAAGTTGAAAATTCAGCTAAAGGGAAGGAGATTTGAGACGATAGAAGAGATTCAGGCAGAATCGCAGATGGTGCTTGACAGGCTGACAAAGAAAGATTTCCAGGGATGCTTCCAGGCTTGGCAGCGGCGCTGGGATCGTTGTGTTCACTCCCAGGGGAACTACTTCGAGGGTGATGGATGAATTTAATACCTGAGATAAGTGTACGGGTTTTTTATACGCGCAGTCTTGAAACTTTCCGATCGCACCTCGTATGCTCATCTGCTACCCTTTCTACGTTCCTGATCCGATTGTCTTCGTTCTTCTACATCTGCTACCCTTTCTACGTTCCTGATCAGATTGTCCTCTTTCTTCTAACGAAGCTCGGACGCACAGATTTGCCCCGACTACAGAACTGGGCGGGGGGCACACACGAACAACTGAATATCAATACGTTTAGATCGACAATAATTCGCGATTTTTCCAACATTTGAGTTTGTAGTCTAGTCGTTTAGATGAGTTTCCAAATATAGAATTTGTCTGTCCACTCACCGACGTTGGGGGTTGTATAATCCCAGCTCTCCGAGTCATTCTTGTATACGTTCAGCTTGGTGGGCTGCAACAGAGATAAATTATGCACTCTAAGAGTAAAGAATCACAAAGCAATAGAAAGTTTTAGCTTCCATGACAGTAGTTGAGTCTGTAGTCACTTAGTGTAGTGCTAATTCTATCAGGCAGAAAATTTACTCAATTCCACAAACAAAAATATTTTAAAAATCGACACCAATTCAACATAAAGCAAATTAGCAGCACAGTATAAATAAAAACTGGTGAGATCCTGTATCGTTGTGTCTTTAAAAGTCAAGATCTTCGGATCCGACCACAAAAATGAATAAATGTAATAACTGCTTATTTAAACTTTTGTAATCACAAGAACGTTAACCAAGTATCTCTACGGGTCTGCACAGATGGAAGGCTTTCGCGCCAACAGATCTTACTGGCGTTGTTGAGACAAGTAAGTTCTGTTAACAGAAAAGGAGTGACAATCCTGATGGATAATAACTTATGTCGCGCAAAACACAGGAGTAGCGAGTTCGAAGCCCTCTAACCAATCATAATCATCCTCGTCCTCACAGTGTTTACCTACGTTTCAAAGGCGATTGCTGCCTCCATCATCGGGGCCAACACCGCAATGATAATGAAAACAGCGAGTACATTTGAAACGTCGGAGAACCTCTATCAGAACACATGGCCCGAATCTTCATCAAAAGCCATGCAGTTTGTAACAACAAATATGAAAAAAAAAACATCATAACATAGAAGGCTTCGGTCCGAATCGGTCTGTTCCGCCCACGAACAACATAACCAAGGAGCTATTGGTACCACGAGACACAATGGAAGCACGATTTTCGACCAAGACCGATGGGCTATTTTTTTTAGCAATGTCCCTGCTAGATCAATCCGCGGTGCCATCTTCCAAATTGCATCACAAAACGTGGTGATTTAAAGCTTAGCATTCGAAAGATCCAGGTTTCAAATCTCGGCCCGGATACCAGCTGTCCTGAAAGGTCTTACTAGCTTTCGCCAGTCCCTCCAGACAAATGCCAGGATAATGCATTTAATTAGGCCACGATCGCTTCCTTTCTAATCCTTTCCTATTCTATACTCATTAATCATCCTCTCATTCGACGCTGCATAGTCTTAGTTACGGTAAACTGAATCATGCGAAAATCGGCCATCTCCGCGGGCTGAACCGTAAAGTGGAATTCCTTGGTGGATTTGTAACAGATAACTCGTCTCACTCAGTGAGCTTCGGGCATCAAATTACGAGTGTTTATTGATTTTATGCCAACAGTTAGGATCCCGTAAGACGGAAACTAATACGGTTTAACGTAAATCAGAAAATATTCGAACATCTGGAGCGTTTTAAGAACGAAGGTCGTAGTCCTAAATTTAAATTACGAAGTACGTGCATAGTACAAACAAATTTATATTTAGATGATAAGAAATTTCAAGCTGTGTAGGATTTGAGATTTCCACGGCGGAGTCTGAAGATTGCTGTCTTCTGGGTTGTTGCGCCGTGTAGTCTGGTAGATGTCCACCAACCAGCCGCCTCCATCATCAGGGCGATCGCTGGACATCTACCAGACTACACAGCGCAACAACCCAGAAGACAGAAATCTTCATACTCATCGCCCTGAAGATGGAGGCAGTATGACCTCTGAAACGTTGGTTAACATCGACCAGACTACACAGCGCAACAACCCAGAAGACATCAATCTTCAAATTCCAAGTTGTTACGGAATCCGAAAATATAAAAAATGTTTATAAAATCCCACATTTGGATCACCTAGTGAACCAGTTCACAGTCTACGTACTTCCGTATGCTCCGTTTTAATATAATCATCTCACTTCAACCACGTCTCTGGCTGTCTCTCCCCTTCAGGGTTCTCAACAAAGTTTTGTTTTCCTTGTGCGTGCTACATGTCCCATAGAGTTAATAGCAATTGTAGCTACCCCAATTATGTAATCTTCCAAATTTCCTGTTTTATCACATTCGCCCGATTGGTTTGTTCACATTATATTCAGTTTCAATTAAAATATATCTACGTAAATACGCGGATTGGTTCTAAAACTGAAAACTGAGAACTGGGTTACTCCGTAAGAGAAAAGGCTGCTACTTTCAGAACACCAATTCGAAAATTCATATGAAGAAACCCAATACATCTTACTCAAAGTTTTTGTTAAACTTGCACACGCAAAATTACGAAATCTATTTGTGAAGAATTGTATTTACGGCGACGAAGACCTACTGAACAAACACGAAACATAACTAAAGATGATAAACTGTCAGACTTGATGTTTTCATGGCAGTGAGTACAAATATCGCCCTGATGATGCAGGCAGCAAGGACCAAGGCGCTAGAATCCAGAATTGTCATTGACAATCAACGACGAATCCCCTGGCTATGAATATCTCGACCGTTGCCCACGTGGCAGGTGCTTTCACGCATTCCACAGCTTGAGTCAAATGCAAACGTCTGGCGTCGTTGACGGAATGACGGGGAGGGAGTGGGAATTCTGGTATATCGGATGTTGCGCCGGTATCCTGCAATGTCCTTAATTTACTACTTATTTCTGTCGGCTTTTATGTGATTACAATTCCTCCTGGCGCCCTATTTATTAACAGCGACCTGGCGTCAGCTGCCCCACCCGCTCTCCACCTCGAATTCCGGGGGGGAGAGAAAGTAGGACGATCATTTGAAGTCGAAGCGCGAAGACTTCGAGCACTGGGATGCGTTTATTTATACCAATACTGGTGTTATTTTTCGACGAAACTAAGCTAACCACTCCAACATGCAGACATCGACCTTTTCCTTCCATAGCTCTGAGTAATATTCTTCCGTCGCCCTTATGATGGATGTAGCAAGCGCCTCTGAAACGTCTGTAAACTTCAATCAAGACTACACGTAGAAGACAATCATGCTGACATGTCATTGTCGACGTTCTCAAGTCATCCCACACGTGGGCCTACTGCCAAATTCCCAATAAATCAAAACCATCAATCACGCTGTGTCCAACGGGAATCGGGCGAGGTAGCAAAACGTCTAACTCTCGTTCGCGAGGGAACCGGTTCCAGTCCCGACCAGATGTTTCCACGGCTTTCCTCAGCCATTAAAGGGAACGCTTTGAAGCAGGCCAAGGATGCTTCCATCTACATCAGTTCCATTTCAGCCTCTGGACTATAATAACGCAGTGTCGTTACAGTATGAAACAAACACACGAACCTTGTGTGACGATTTAGAATACACCTGACCCAGTATTCTTTGTCGCACGATGATGGGAGTAACATGAGATAACTGTTTCTCATATTAAATAAATTCTGTAAAATAACTGTAATAGTGTATAGGTCACGCGAGAAATGGTGACACCTAAACGCGCGATGTGTTAGCCGAGAGAGGGGGGGTTCGGTAGTAGGGGAGGGGGTCGCACGGCCTCAGCTGCGGTGACGAACCGAACTAAACATAGCTAGAGTTACAAACCAACTGAAGCTGACACCCCTCTAGCGCGTGCTTTGGACGAGTCCAACTCACACGACCAAAATGAGTCCTTTGCGCAGGTGCCAGCATTTCTCGCTCGACCTCTACACTGTAGCTGATGTGGTCAGTCATTCAATGGCTGCCGTGTCATTTACTCTACTCAACGCACATTAAAAAATACTTCACACAAAGATGTTTCACATTTCCTCTTGTCAAAAGCTTTATCGACACAATTTACTCAGCTTATTAAAATTTATCACTACTACAAAATTACGTATACATATCACATCAAACAAGACGTTCAAAATCTGTTGAGTTACATCAAAGATCTCTGTCTTCTGGAATGTTGTGCCGTAGTCTTGTAGAAACTTGCCAGTTTCAGAGGTACTTGCTGCCTTCATCAGAGAGATGAAAACTTTTTATAATATTATATCAGTACTATTATTATGTTTATGAAATGGGATCTCTTGTTTTGAGGGAAGCATAATTATCGCTTTGTGAATTAAACAATTTTCACAAAACAACTGTGCAGACATCTTTATCGTATAAACCGACTACTTCGCCTAGTGATCAGATTACAGGCAAGGACAAAGAGAGAGGGAGAAAAACGTAACACCACGAAACACCCAAAATTTAACCGAGTTCGAATTCTGGTAAAAGAAACTTCGGAATTAAGAAAGAACGCGGTGAAACGAGATTGTCGGAACTGTAAACTGGAGTTCCCATTTGAACACAATGAACCACGTATTAGAGAAGATATAAGTAGGAGAAGAAGAGAACGGAGAAGTCGTTCAAGGAGAACATAAAGAAGTGATGTAAATTATAAGGATAAAAATTTCAGTCCCTCAGGATAAATCGGAAGGTATCAAGGCTGAAAAAATGTTAACCACAACACAATTTTATGAGGGCATTTCCTCTGCAACATTGTCTGGAACATAAATATACAGGTACTGAAAGGGCTTGGATATTTTTCTGTGTGCTTTGTGAAACCCGTTACACAAAGCTTGTCACTAACCACCGAAGCTTTAACTTCGAGACAGATTTCGAAACGTACTTTTTTTTTTCTAGACAATGGACGGTGTCCAAAGAAAACACACACGTGACAATAATAAACCAGTCACAAGCCACTAGCGTAGACTGGCGATCCCCAAACTGTGGTTCGCGACCTGACAGAAGATTGTATTTTCCACTTACTTTCAGAATTATTTTGTTTTATTCAAACTGCAAAGATGGGGGGGGGGGAAACGAACTTCGCTTCATGTCCTTGAAGACAGGAAAATTCTCCTGAAATATCGCCCGAAAAGTACAAGCTGAAGTTGGTATTCTGGAAAACGTGAAAATGGCAGAAAACTAATTTCGTCGACGGATATTCGTGTATTCTCATTCTTTAAGAAAGGAAGCCGTTGAGTTACGAACTTTGGGAACCACCAACTTACAACAGGACCTCAACAGCCTCTGAAGTTCATCAACCTTCCACCTGGGATCCTCAGTTGGAGAATAATGGGGCCGAAGCGTGAAGCTGTTCATTTACCACCTTGTACCTATGTTAAGAATGATAGTCACTTTTCATCTACTCC